GGTGCAGAGATTGGGTCAAGTTAGAAAAAGTAGACAAACATTGGAACATAAATTTTCTAAATTAAGAGTTTTGGATGTAATCTCTTGACAAAAAAAAACAAAAATACATAGATTAATTGTTTAAGGGCTAAAAATGGCATTTAATTGCCTGCTGGCATAATATAGTGAGCCATAATTTCCAATTTAGAGTAATTGATTTATGAGAAAGCTTTTACTTGGCAAAAAACAATACAAACTTACATATATAGAGAATAGAACTGCTAAACCAAGAGACAAACAATTATTTACTCATTATGGTGAAGTTTGAGGACAGTAATATTGCCATTTACTATTTGACAGCACAAAATGGTTTTTGAATACCTTTACTAATCAATTTTGCATACCAACTAGTGAAAATTGATTTCTAATACAAAATTGCACATTGGTTCAATAGATACAACTAATCTAGCAATGAAAATAAGAATGGAACGATTTTTCATTCACTTGAATACTTTTTCGCACTAAAGTTTGCAAAATTTGTAATTTACATTGCAAAACTATTTCCCGATGTGACGTGTATGATTATGGAGGAAAAATGATCAAAACCTTCTTAATTTCCACTTTCGTGGGATTGATTAGTGAAAAAGAATTCAATCAAAGAAAGGCACACATATTTCACGAGTACAAATAGCTCAATTACTATATGGAGGACCAAAATGTTAGTCATGCACTCATGTGCTTATTTCGTAGAATAACAAAGCAATTTTGGTGCCCGGCAACGAAAAATGGTTTCTTAAATACTCTAATCATCAACTTTTGAAAAATAATTTCTGAAAAATGGAATGGTAGAATAGTTTTGCGGGTACAAATCATCAAGATGTTAAAACAAGAAATGAACCATTTTTAAATTAATTGTGTAGTTTTCTTGATTAATGGTAGCAAACTTTTATAATTTTGAATTGTAAACCTATTTCATCATTCAGTTGAAAATTTCTAAGTGACATAAATTAAGTAAGCTAGAAAGTCTTACTAAAAAAATTGAAAAAAAAAACTAGAAAGTCAAGTACCGGTAGTTACGTCACAATGATCATTGAGAATGTAACTGAACTTGACATGTATGCTTACATTTGGCTGTTCCCTGACCAGATCCTTACATTTCCACTTGCGTGTTTGACCATCAGCTTCTTGCAACGTAACATGACTTGCATGTGTAAATAAATGAGTCTCATCTCTTGCTTTAGAACTAGAAATATTTGGAACAATTAAATAGCTTCTTCCCCATTGCAAGTTTAATTGCTAGGCTACATCTCGAGGTATGTCTTCTTAATTTGATCTATTGTGCTTGCATTCTTTTGCTTTCTACAAAATCATAAGTTGTTGTGGTTGTTTACATGATGAAATGTTGAGTGTACACAAATAGTGAAATGCTATAGTTGTAAGATGTAGTTGGCGTATTATTTGCATTTAGTATTCTTTGAATTCGCTACAAATTTTTTAGTTCAATTTTGTAGAATCTATGTCTTTTTTTGAGCAAAGAAAAATAAGAGAAAAAGAAGACATTAGATTCTATGAAATTGAACTCAAAAATTTGTGGAGAATCTATGTCTAGTCAAATGCTCATTCCATTTTGTCTAATTGTTTCCAATGTTGTTGTCTGATGATGTTAGGCAATGTTGCACTTGAGAGATGGAGGGATATCAGATAGACTAGAACAAAACTGATGATGTCAGGCAATGTTGCACTTGGGAGATGGAGGGATATGAGAAAGACTAAAACTTTTTGTTCTTTATTTTTTTTGTTATAGTTTTTTCGCTGTTGCTTCTTGGAAAATTTGATAAATAGTCGCCAACATATTTTGAAAATTTCAATTTCTTGTTGAATATTTGAAATGGAGCCATATGGTTATGAATGTTTTAAACTCATAAGACCATATTCCCTTCTATTATATGGGTTACACGTGTGCGTTAAGAAGAGCATGATTAATTTTTGTAACTCTTTCTTAAAGTTTAGGAATTGCTTAGAAATTATTTTAAATTTTTATTTTTTTTATTTAAAATTTTAAAAATTTCATTTGTGTCCTTATATAAGTCATTTTTCGCCTCCATTCCCCAATATCCCGTTAAAAGTTTAGAGAAAAAAAACCTCCCACAAAGTACCCCATTAATGCACATTTCTAAGTAGAACCACTCTAGACTTCTTTTTTTTTTTTTTTTTTTTTAATCTTCATCTTCTTTTATGATTTATTTTTACTAGGAATTACATCTTCTTTAATGCAAATCATCATTTTAATCTGAAGTTTGAAATACACATGGCTTTTCTGGGAGTGGACAACCAATTCAACAAACCTGTGAAGACAAAACTTGTAGCGTATTTATTGGAAGAGAAGCTAAATTTGGCTATTTCGGAGGCAAACGTTTTACACATAAGGTGTTAGGAAGGGTTGCCTTTAATCGAATACAATTTTGTTATCCTTTAAAGTACTTTCAATGAACATTCAAATTAGAAAAGACTTGCAAACTTAAGCTTTAATCAGAACATCAGTTTATTTGTTAAACCAATTTGGAATAAAAAAATTTACTTTTCTAGCATTGCAAAATAGTTAATTTTTCAATTTTGTGGACTTCTCTAGAAAAACACTTGTTCTGCAACAGAGGAGCATGTTAAAGTACTCCTACGTTACTATTCCTAGTTTAAAGAGTTAAGATAATTTTGCTTGTCACTGAGAAATGTTAAACCTGCATCCATAGTTTTAGAATCTGAAGGATTACACTTTTGATGATATCACACATATTGAAATAAACCGAATATTGTGTTTTTCTCGGAGGAAATATTTATAATTCGAGTATTTAGACTGGCATATCAACAGTAATACTTGTCAAGCAGATCCTAGTTTTCTTCATAATACTATTAGAGAGGCTACTTGTTAACCATGTCAGATTATGATCAACAAAGCCATGTAACATGTCGCATTTCAGTTATGTACTAATATTAGTAATTGATTTTGTGCTTGAATGTTTTAGTTGGAAGAATATGGATCCATCAGTATCAGTTGATGATTTGTTCTCAAGATTGCACCCATGCTTTCCTGTCCAAACAAGAATCGCAATAGTGGGAGCTGGTCCGAGTGGATTATCTGCTGCATATGCTCTATCCAGACTTGGTTACTGTAATGTGACAGTTCTTGAGAAATATCAATCTGCTGGAGGAATGTGTGAATCTGTTGACATTGATGGTATGACTTAAATTCACAATGTTGATGCTACATCCAAAAGTAGTGTCCTTATCAGTTCTTTAGGCATTGTAAATTGTATGTATAATTCAAGAATGTCTATTTGTCTCATAGTAAGATGCTTAAATTGACTAACCAAGATTTCATCTTCAGACTGTTTGAGGCCACAGAGAATAAATGGGGAGAACTTAAACAATATATTGATCTTTCCTGAAATTAACCTAAATGAAAATAAGAAAACAGATAACAGATAACGAATGTAGCTGTACAGAATCAAATCTTATGTAGTTCAGATTATTAGTCCATTATATGATAAGTTCTGTCTGAATTTTTTAACGATCACTTGAAATTCATTTGCACAAGCTAAAAAGGCCATGACCATAAAACACTTGAAACTGATTAAGAGATTGCAATGTTGTCTTACAGGAAGGATTTATGATTTGGGAGGTCAAGTTCTGGCTGCCAACAGTGCCCCCACTATTTTTCATTTGGCAAAAGAAACTGGGGCTGAACTGGAGGACTTAAATAAAGATATCTTCGCTCTAATTGATAGTAGAGGAGGAACAATTCGTGACATGAAATTGGTGGATGACTATGTCTCCATGATCTCTCTTACACTGAAACTTCAGGTAAGTTATGACTAGGCCACAAAAGACTAGTACAGACTACTGTTTTTAATTAGTTTGAACTACTGATTTCTGTTTATGTTCCCCTCTTTGCAGGATGAAGCGAAAGAAACTGGTCATCTTGGGGTGCATGGTGTCAGTAAAATTGCTTCAGATTTATCTCCTGCCTTTCTCAGGAATCATGGCCTAAAATCGTTTCCTAAATCAGTATCATATGGTTTCACAGCTTCAGGTTATGGATTTGTAGAAGACATGCCTTATGCTTACGTCCATGAGTTCACAAGGACCTCCATGGCTGGAAAAATCCAGCGGTTTAGAGGAGGTTACATGGGTTTCTGGCAGAAGTTATGTGAGCGCCTGCCTGTAGAATTTTGCTGGAACACTGAAGTAATATCAGTTAGGCGCAACTCAGATGGCATCATTCTTAATGTTAAAGATGAGAATGATATTGTCCAAGTTATGGAGTTTGATAAAATAATTATCTCAGGAGCTTTCCCTTTCAAAAGTGGAAAGATTTACAGATCACCTTCCACGAACCTTCCAGGTTTGTTGAACTAATAACATGTATAATTCGCTGCTGTTATTTCTTTGCATTATTTAACAGGTTTCAATTGTAGGAAGTATGAATGAGTGCCTGCACATGAGCATGCTTGAGAAGGAGTTATTCAGTAAAGTAGAAACTATCGACTATTATACCACCGTTTTGAAGACAAAGGGATTGGAGCATATTCCAAAGGGATTTTACTACTTTGAAGAATTTATGATTGATCCTGCAACTTTAGGAAACCCTGTTGCAATGCAGAGATTTTATGGAGACACGGACATTTTTCTTTTCTGGTCTTATGGAAATTCTTCTGATATCAGGGGTTCAACTGTTACTGATCTTGCAATAAATGCTGTAGAAAATATGGGAGGTCAAGTTCAGAAAGTGGTTTTGCAACGGCAATTTAAGTACTTTCCTCATGTCAGCAGTGAAGGTATGTGGGTAGATTTAAGGTAAAGATGCCTATTTCGCACTAAACATATTCTGATCTTTCCCTTCTAAAACAGATATGAAGAATGGGTTTTATGATAAGCTGGAACATGAATTGCAAGGTCAGAATAGCACATATTTCATAGGTGGGCTCATGGCATTTGAGCTAACAGAAAGAAATGCATCCTATGCAATGGCTCTAATGCGGAAGCACTTTGCAAGCAATACTCCTGTGCCAGATTTTCCATATGTTAAGGCATGAGATTCCACTTCACTTCGTATACAGCTTCATATTCTAGAGTTTCAATTAGCCACCAATTATGCTGACTTGAAGCTTGTTCTTTGCAGAGACTACTTCCATTGAACTCAAATAGGCTGGCATTATCTTGTAAGCCATCAATTGTCCCTGGGATACAATTTCCAGATCTCCCTTCCCTCAACAGCTATTTGAGACACTGGGCAACTCATACTGTTACTCAAGATAAGATTCTTTACACATGGATCAATGAAAAAGGAGACAAGGTAGCTCAGAGAACATTTAAAGAAATGGATACAAATGCTTCAGTCATTGCCTACAAGCTCTTAACAAGCCAAAAGCCAACTATCAATCCTGGTGATAAGGTTCTCTTAGTCTATCTCCCTGGCCTTGATTTCGTTGATGCCTTCTTTGGGTGTTTGAGAGCTAGAGTTGTCCCTGTACCTGTCATTCCTCCTGATCCTCTGCAAAGAGGAGGACAAGCACTTCTCCATATCAGCAACATTGCAAAAAGGTGCAATCCAGCTGCAATCCTATCAACTTTTAGTTATCATCTCACTGTTCGTGCAGCTTCTGCAAAGAACATGATTTTATTGAATGGGAAAAGCAAATCCTCTCTTCACTGGCCCAATCTTCCATGGCTTCACACTGATGCTTGGATCAAGAAATCCATAATTTCTGCAGAATATAATGACATGGATGATCTCAGTGAACCTAAATCAGATGAGTTGTGCTTTCTTCAATTCACATCAGGTTCCACTGGGGAAGCAAAAGGAGTCATGATCACTCACGGTGGGCTAATCCATAATGTGAAACTTATGCGAAGAAAATACAGGAGTACATCAAGGACCATACTTGTAAGCTGGCTGCCTCAGTACCATGATATGGGACTGATTGGTGGACTTCTTACAAGTATGGTTAGTGGGGCATATGCCATTTTGTTCTCACCAATGACATTTATCAGGGATCCACTGTTGTGGTTGCAGGTTATCAGCAAAAATCATGCAACTCATAGTGCTGGACCAAACTTTGCCTTTGAACTTCTTGTTCGAAAATTAGAATTGAACAAGGTACAGAATTTTGATTTGTCCTCCTTAGTTTTCCTCATGACTGCAGCTGAACCAATTAGGCCGGCTACTTTGAAACGATTTATTGAGCTGACTCAGGCTTTTGGACTCTCCCAAGAGGTAATGGCTCCTGGATATGGCTTAGCAGAAAATTGTGTATATGTGTGCAGTGCATATGGAGAGGACAAGCCAATTTTGGTTGATTGGCAAGGACGTGTTTGTTGTGGTTATTTCAATCCAAATGATAAGGATGTGGATATCAGAATCGTAGATCCTGAGACAGGTAAAGAGCTTGAAAAATCAGAAAATGAAGGGGAAGTTTGGGTTAGTAGTTTGAGTTCTGGAGTTGGTTACTGGGACATGAAGGAGCTAAGTGAAACAACATTCAGAAACAAGCTTGACAACCACTCAGGAAAGCTATACCTGAGAACTGGAGATCTGGGGCGAGTTATTGAAGGCAAATTATTCATTACTGGAAGGATAAAAGATCTAATCATCATCGCTGGACGAAATGTTTATTCCTCAGATATTGAGAAAACAGTTGAGAGCTCATCTGAAATTCTTCGTCCTGGCTGCTGTGCTGCTGTTTCTGTTCCAAGTGAGATCTTATTGGCAAAAGGCATATCTGTTCCTGATGTTTCTGACCAGATTGCCTTGGTTGTCATTGCTGAGGTTCGAGAAACTAAGTTCTCGTCACAGGAAGTTGTTAAGAAGCTTGAAACCCGTGTGGCAGAAGAACATGGTGTCATTGTCGCTGCAACTGTACTGATCAAGCCAAGGTCCATCAGCAAAACTACATCAGGAAAGATAAGGAGGTTTGAATGTGCCAAAAAGTTCATCGATGGGACATTGAGTGTAATAGTTGAGCCAGCAAGTAGAGACAACAAATCAACTCCTAAGTCTAAAAGAAATTCATCACATCCTCAAAAAACAAGAGATCTTTCTTCAACAATGGGTACTGTCAGTAAAAAAGACATTATAGAATTTCTCAAGGGGCTGCTATCCGAGCAGACTGGAATTTCTAGTGCTAAGATCTCCACCACTGAGAGTCTTGTATCCTATGGTGTTGATTCCATTGGTGTGGTACGAGCAGCTCAAAGGCTTTCAGATTTTCTTGGAGTTCAAGTTGGTGCAATCGACATTTTTACTGCAACTTGTATTGATGACTTGGCGAATTTTGCTGAAAATCTTTTAGTCAAATCCCGCTCTATTCCTACTTTGCCTGGTTCTACCTTGCCTGGTTCAACTGCTACACAAACAGTACCAAACCGAGCTGAAGTGGATTTCAAAGTTTCAGAATCACAAAAGTTGATTATTTGGATAGCCCATCTTATTGCTCTTGCTTATATTTCCTTGTTGCTGACATGTCCTGCATACTTGTCAGTTCGTGGTTATACAGTTCTTGTCTCTTGGACACATCCATTACTTCAAAGAAGTCCTCTGATTGGATACTTAATTTCCCTTGCATTTGCTCCTCTATCTTGGATATTCTGCATTTGCTCGACCTGCTTCTGCATAGCATTGTTTGGGAATTCAGTTTTGCAGCCAAATTATTGGTTGTCTCCAGAAATTTCAATTTGGTCTCTGGGATTTGTTAAATGGTGGTCACTTTACAAGGCTCAAGAAGTTGCTTCAAAAATTTTAGCAGTACACTTGAGAGGAACAGTTTTCTTAAATCACTGGTTCAGGATGCTTGGAGCTAAGATTGCAACATCTGCTGTGATTGATACTATTGATATCACAGACCCATCTTTAGTCTCTATTGGAGAAGAAGATGTTATTGCGGAAGGTGCATTGCTTCAAAGTCATGAGGTGAGAAATGGGATCCTATCATTCTCTCCAATCCGAATGGGCCAAAAATCCTTTGTCGGTCCTTATGCTGTAATTCAGAAGGGAAGTATTATCGGAGATGGTGCTGAAGTGTTTGCCCTGCAGACATATGAAGGCAACGGAGACTGTAAGAACTCAAGTGCCAATGTGGTCCAAAAGGTAAGTAAAACCTACAAGCATAAGGTTTAAACTTTATTGCAAATGTGATTGCTTTTATGGAATTGCCTTGATTATTTTGCATTCTTCTTACCTCCTTGTTCACTCAGAACTAACTGGCAATCTAAGAAAATACATTTTATTTTTCCATTCAGCTTTTCTGTTTATGCTGGATCTGAATTCACATTTGGTACAAATACAGCTAACCTTTCAACTTCTTGTGCGAGTAATTTCATTAGTCATACCAACAAATTGGAAGTTCCTGTTAAGAAAATCTGTCGTAGTTAATTAAGCTATGAATGGATCTAAAGCGTAGAGAAGCTTTTGATGTTTCATTTTAGTTACTATAGATGCTTTTTACTTTTTAATAAGGAATGCTCAGCTTACAAAATACAATTCAGACCCTAGACACGCATTATGTAAAGCAACATATCATGCAAGTCACTTTAATGAAATCAACACAATCCGAGTGTTTCATTTAGGACATTTTGACTAGACACCTCAATCGTTTATTACCAATATTCACAGAGAACATTTTGAGCAGACACCCGAGCTCGTGTCTCAGCCTTCCATATCACTTGACATTTCAAATTTTTTATTTGAAGCCTGTAGGTATTCTAGTTTCTTCACCTTGCTTCTTCTGTAGGATTTAGGTCTTTCTTTAATTATGTGGATTTGTTCTTTTGGTAAACTTTTTACTTTTTCCCAACAGATATGCAAAATCCAGAAATCTACTTGTTTCATGAACTGAACCTTGGATTGACTTTGATTACTATTATTTTGGTTTGATTCTATTGGCAACTATGAACAAAAGAACCAAGTTTATAATGGCCTTTTCTTAAAGCATATCCTATACCGTATCTTCTTTGTCATGTTGCCAGCAGATATACACATGTTATCCTGATGACATAATGGCAGAAAATGTTGGAGAGATAGATTGACTTTACTGTGACAACAAACATTTCTGGATAAATAGATTTGCCAAACTAAATATCCATGTTTTTGCGTTCTCGTCTATTGACTTCTTTTATGAATGTTCCATTTGCATTATATTCTCGGCAATGTTTTTTGAAACATATGAATCTCAATTCTTGAGAAACTCAAATCATCTAAGCACAGATGCCATGGGCATGAAAGATTATCTCATGTTGTCTAAAGTAAGAATATGGATCAAAAATCCAATTTTTTTCATTTGGGATACATAAACTGACCTTTGTGTTTTCTACATTCATGATGGCTTTAGGGAAAACTGTGTGAAGAAACCATAAGAAAGCCTTCCGGAAGTGAGTCTACCATTCAGTTTTTGGGTATCTACATGGTTAGTTGTCTTAGCAGCTTATCAGCAGCCATTATCTATTTATTCTACATTTGGATTTTTGAGAAGGATATTTCACTTGACCACTTCGGATACTTTTGCATTTGTGGGGCTTTTCATTGGTTGCCTTATACAATGGTGGCCTATGCAGCTATTTTCGACAGTGCCCCTTCAAACCCAATCATTTCTGCCTTTTTAGTTGCTGCTGGTTATGCAGCTCATGGCTTTATCCTGAGCATCTTCACTGGCATCTTGAGTTCTTATCTTCAAAGAGGAGAAGCAAATGAAAAATATCTTAGCTCTTGGTTTGCTCACCGATTGAATGTTGCTTGCCATGTAAGATTCGCCAAGTTCCTCTCAGGAACAGAGGCTTTTGCCATGTATTTGCGTCTTCTGGGAGCAAAAATTGGTCAGAACTGTTCCATCAGATCCATTAACGCTGTTTTAGATCCAAAATTGATCTCAATCGGTGATGGTGTACATTTGGGTGACTTCAGCCGGATCACTCCAGGATATTACTGCCAAGATGGATATACTTATGGAAAAATTGAAATACAGGAGAACTCAGTTCTTGGGAGTCAAAGCCTCATCCTCCCTGGTGCTGTGGTTGAGAGAGATGTAATTCTTGGTGCAATCTCAATTGCTCCCAGCAATACAGTTCTTCAGAGAGGTGGTGTATACTTAGGGTCGCAAGCTCCAGTAATGGTCAGAAACATCATGTATTCCTTGGATGAGAGGATAGAAGAGATGGATGTGAACTATAAGAAAGTTCTAGGAAATCTTGCTGCAAATTTAGCTGCCACAACCCTGAAAGTAAGATCAAGGTACTTCCATCGGATTGGCGCAGCTGGAAAGGGATCACTTGTTTTCTATAAAACCATACCAGGCTTCCCAAACCATAAGATCTTCTCTCCTGGAAGGTGTTACCCCATAATTATCCGCCACAGTAACTGCTTGAGTTCTGATGATGATGCTAGGCGCGATCCACGTGGTGCAGCAATAAGGATCCTGTCAGAAGGAAAAAGTCCTTTACTTGATTTGACGCTGAAAACAGGCAAGGCGTTCCACGCTCGTACAATAGGTGATTTTGCTACCTGGCTCGTATGTTCAGCTGCTGCACGAGAAGAGCATGTAAAACATGCTCCTCATGTACGGGATGCTATGTGGGGATCTCTTCGACAGCCAGACTCTTATGCTGAACTTCATTACTACTCCAATTTCAGCAGACTATTTAGATTCGAGAATGGACAAGAAATGTATGTCAGATTCAAGTTGAGGCCCTTCAACAAGAACATCGCTGAGGACTCGGGCAAGGTGGAGCCTATGGGTATACTTCCACCCGATACTGGTTCAATCCCTAGAGATGAGAAAGACACTCGCCCCCTACTCTTTTTAGCTGAAGATTTCCAGTGTCGCGTGAATTCTCCTGACAAGGTCCGTTACGTTCTTCAGTTGCAAATTCGGCCTGTTCCTGAGGATGCAAGTATAACTGAGATTGCACTAGACTGTACCAAGCCATGGGATGAAACTGAATTTCCGTATATGGAGGTGGGAGAGATAATTATTGATGAAATGCTGACCAAGGAAGAATCGGATGGCCTGGAGTTCAACCCATTTTTTCGATGTCACGAAGTGGATGTCATCAGGGCTACATCTTACAATCAAAGTGCCTCACTTGATCATGGCCGTTCAGTAGTCTATGAGATATGCCAACATTTAAGAAACAGCAAGCCACTTCCAGAGACATGGAGGATTTTCCTGGATCGAACTGATGTTAAACTGGATTTCTCAGGCTGTCCCATGGCAGCGAAGTTAGAGAAAAAGGAATTGGGCAAAGTGACATTGGCTAGAACCTGGTACACGACACTCTGGCTTACGTCCGTTCAAGCCCTGCTGCAAATTTTCCTGCCATACTTTCTCTTGGGACTAGTGATCAATATCCCATTTAACTGCATCTTTTCAATAAATGAAAGCAAGAAAATCTGGGTGTTGCCTTTGTTCTGGGTTTTCTCGGGACTTTTAGGTGGACTTTTATGCACTCTGACCAAATGGATTCTGGTAGGGAAGAAGGAAGAAGGTGAAACTGTTCTGATCTGGAGTAAAGCTACCTATATGGACACCATATGGCAGGCTATAAGGACTTTAGTTGCAGAATATTTGATGGGAATGACAAGTGGATCGTTTCTGTTTGGGATTTGGATGAAAACTCTGGGTTCAGAAGTTGCTTGGGACCAAGGAGCATACGTAGACAGCACAGAAGCTTTGCTCAATCCTGAAATGGTGAAGATAGAAAAATACGGTTCTGTAGAAAGAGAAGCTTTGCTCTTTGGACACATCTATGAAGGTGAAGGAGGCAAAGTGAAGTATGGCAAAATTGATATTGAAGATGGTGGGTTTGTAGGAAGTAGAGCTGTGGCCATGCCTGGTGTGACTGTGGAAAGTGGGGGAAAACTTAATGCTCTCTCCTTAGCCATGAAAGGAGAGATTGTCGGGTAAGAGATCCCCGAGCTGTGGAATGTGATGAAATATGAGTTTCACATACAACAAAAATGCTGCAGATGTTATTACGCAGCAATAGAGGAGGCAAAATTGAGTTGGCACTCCCATCTTTGTAACTTCTACCAATAAAGAATCAACTAATCTATTTCATTCGAAATTCAGGGTTCAAAGTTGAAATAGGTTTAATACAGCAACGTCATTTCCCTGACTTTGATAATGGATTGGGATAGAGTACCTATCTAATATACCTTGGAAGTTTGAAGTAAACTCAATACATGTCTGGATAAGTAAACAAGAAGACTACCTGTAAGAAAGGAGAAAAGTTCCTCATCCCTTAACGCAGGGTTTTGTATAAAATTATCTATTGGAAAAGTCTGAAAACAAATACAGGACTCTGGAAATCAACAAATTTACTTTCTCCTTCCAGTGTTTGTATATAGATATTTTCCCTGGGTTCCTCATTCACTCCGCTTTGTGTGGCATATTCCAGAGCCATTTCATAGTCCACCTGGAAAAATAGCATTAGTCAAATGGAACCAAAGATGAGAAATCATGTTCCAAAATAAAATTAACATCTAACACAACATAGAGAGATTGAGAATTTCTAGGACGGCATTTTGCGTACTCCCCTGTTATGTTATAGCTCAGAGTACATATCCTCCAAATTTTACCAGAGGTTGGAGATGTCAAGTAATATCATTCATGGTTAGCTGGCTGACGAGCTCAATAACTGTTAGCAAAGGTTTCAGAATGACATATGCCAATGCCAAGTTCAAAGAAAGTTTGGGGCCGAAGGAGGTCAGGCATCAAAAGTTAAATTACAGGCATCAGATATATGCTTTTGATATCGCGGGAAACAAAACTAGTGATATCAGCTGCCTCACATGCTTTGCAGCCAAAAGAAAGGGAAAAACCCTTGTATTTTCTCACAACTGAACATTAAGGGCTGATAAATAAAATCTATCCAGCTATTAATGGATGTTTTCCCATAGATATTGGCTAGCATGTAGCAATCAAAATAATCACATGAAAACAAACAGAGCACAAGAAAATAAACTGGCATTCCACCAGTTAGAAAGAAATTTTTTTATGTTTTTGGAAAAAGGCCAGTAGTTCAAGGTGCTTGTGTACCTTCAATATATATATATATATATATATATATATATATATATATAGGCTTAACGTATATTCATGGAAAAGCTAAAGGAGTAGCATTGGATCATATTTTTGGAGAACTGAAACGGAAGAGGTGGCCAGAAAAGACAGGTTGATAAAGAAATTTTGCCAGGAAAAAGGAAAAATCAAGTAGATAGTAAATGTTTATGTTTTCGAACCAAATAAACTATGCACAGGAAAATAAATTAAACAATAATTGACCATTGTCAAGCCAGAGAGACAACATAAGATAGACAAACAAGAAAAATGCTTATGCCTATTTGAACAGAACTAGAGGACAATAATATAAATCAGCTCACCTGTTCGACATGCTGTGCAAGCTTTTCACCAAGTGTTTCTCTTGTAATTATATGATTTGAAACCTTATTCAGAACTTCTGCATCCTCATTAGTATAACGCTTCCTTTTAGATGCATGCAAATGTGACATCTCTTTCAGAACGTCATATATGGCACCTGTAACATTAGGAATATACCTGCAGCCAGCAGAGATATAATTCAGCTTAGCAAGTACAATGCTAAGATTAGTTACCATTCAACCAAATGACGAACTTGCTCAAATTTCGCTTCCTCTCCTGCTGCTCCCGAGCCTGAATTCTTTTAAGGATCTTGGATTTCAGTTGAGTACAGCACTGCTGAATGGATGTCTGTTTTTATAATAGTGTGAGGCCCCAAAGAGTTTCTGACCACTGCAAATAGTATTCTTACAATCTAACCTATACCTTAACAGCAGCAGCTATCTCACTTATGTCATCTCCAATGTATTCCTTCCCGGTCCCTTTAAAAGGTATTTTGGTGCTTACAATGCTGACGAATACACCAATCTTGTCCTGCGCCTGGTTTATTTTGTAGCTATTCCAACTGAAAAACAGAATTCAAACCAAATTTTGGCTAAAACATTATAACTTATTCCTTTCTACGCATCTTTCAGTGGGAAAGGAAAAATGCCCAAAATTATGAACTTATCCTTTTCTACATTAATATAGCAAAAAAGAGATATACTACAACCAAGAAAAATGTCTAAAAATTATAGCTTATCTTACTTAATTCTCTTCAAAGCAGTTCGAGTGACAACATCAGCACCTTGCTCGAACAGAAGTGGAATCCGGTTAGCAAATCGGAATATGTTCACACCCTATAATAACCAGGTTTATGTAAAGTTTAAAAAAAACACACACACACACATTCATGTTTACTTAGAAAGGGTCAACTGGTCCAGTAACTTGGAAAATAATCGATCGAGAACCAACAAAATTGCTGTTCAACGTACTAAGGGACAAGATATCATACAATTAAGAAACTAGATATGTTCAATAGATTGGCAAGCTACTCTTTGATCAAATCATAAAAAAGAACTTGATAGAGCATCAATTTGGAAGAGAGCTAAGGTTTCTATTGACTTCAAACAAGGGCATGGGGATGCATTAATGTAGCCAAAATCTATTGCAACATAATTAAGCCGATCTAGAAAAGTGGAGGGTCTGTGAAACCCAAAGTTATGGGAGATAACTGATGAAAATTATATACGAATTTCCAAGTCCTGGTTTTGTCTATGTCTGAAGGTTTCTAGCATATTTAACCCCTATCAAATGACATCAGTTGAGACTTGAAGTAATAGAGTTTATGCTTTTAGTATCTCATAGCCATGCCAAGTTGTATAACCCAAAGAGTATCATATTTCTACATTGATCTCCATCAAGATTTTCTAATGATCATGCTGACCTCACTAAGAATTTACACACATTTGCAATCCCTTTTTCTTTTTGGGGGTGGGGGTGTTGGGGGAGGGAGAGAATTCTGTTGTTGGCAATCCAAAAAACTTTCTTGCAAGTTAAAAGTTGTTCATGCGATCAAAAGACGTTCTTTATAAATTCTGAAATTAAACCTACAAAATTGAAAGACAGAAGACCATAATGGTCAGTTCAAAACATTGATGGCTGAGAACCTACAGCTTCAAAAAAGTTTGAGAGCAAATCCAGGTGAACCTCGGAGAAGTCAGAGGAGATCACACAAGCTTATCCTCTTAGTATGCACTTTAACTTTGGACTTCATTGTAAAGGAAAGGAGTGGAAAGATTAAAAGATTTGTAGGAATAGAGTTTCATCAATCACTCTTAAAAATTGTCATCACTGTTCTGTTTTCTTTGACTTGTGCATTCTTTTTACAAGGCAAGGACAGATAAAGACGAAGGTAACGAACAATAAATTTTTAAAAGATCCCCTTTCTTCTCCTCAAGGAAAAAGGTTAAACTGAATTACTGAAGAACTTGGACACAATATTTGAGATTGTTTTTCATCATTCTGGTTTTCAGTATTACATTTGGCTCATTGTAGCGTGCTTGTGGACATGATGAAATAGCCGTTTCTAACATCAATATTTCAGGCATTGTAATACGTTCCCTCACAGATCAAATCTTAACTGGACTACTACAAACAGATTAAGGAACTTGCTACTCTACTGTGCTTGATCCATGTTAACCAAGTCTCAGAGACCAGACGGTTGAAGTCCCATTTACCCATTAGTCAATCCAATGCTGGTGCAACTTTTGAGAGACCAATTGAAAATTTCAGCTTGAACTTTTAGAAAATAAAACAGGTTGATTATATCATCCTAGCAAGATATATCACCATTTCTCAAAAATCAGGATTATTTGATCAGAAATATAAAGCAATTTGCCGCATTTACAGTCATGAAAAATTTTCAATGTGTGGGTAAACCACTAGTATACTCAATTTCATGTTCCAAACACAATATTTGGATAACATCATGAAAACAAAAGTGGACCAGATTATACATGTATTACCAACAATCAAAAATAGAAGAGATCAAGAACTAACTTGCTTAACATCTTTTCCACCAACACTGACTCCAGCTTCGACAAGAAAGGGGTGGCCTTCAAATACTTGAGCACTGAGCAAGTTGCAAACCCACTGTTCAACTTCCACTTTTATATCTTAAAAGTCAACAAAAGTAATATTGATTTAGAAATGCAGCTAAAAGGTACAACCTTCCTGAATAAGTAGCAACCATGTCTGGATGTAACTCCTTGATAATTCCCAAGCGTAAGTTGTATTCCCCTGCAGGACTAAGACACTGCAAAAGGCTTAGAAATTGGAATAATTTACAAACAAAATAATTGAAAAATCAGCCAAAAACATATTGTTCTAAATAACAAAAGCAAGAGCAAAGGTGTGTTCTTTAACAAATGGATGAACCTACATCACCACTTGGATCATCAAACTTGGCTTGACGAAACAACTGATGGATACGAACTATTTGCTGCGAAGTCAGTGACTTGACCAGCATTTTGTGACTGAAATCTGGTCCCATTTCCCCTGAAATTAAAATGCTAGATATATCACAGTCACCTTTTTTTTTTTGATTTGTGAAGGAACTCATGAAGATCTCATCATATACTCATCAGTAACTGAATATCCATTTAAAAGATACCAAAACATGTTCATTCAAGAGTTACAGAATCAAGAAAATATACACCATGGAAGGAACTGATTCGTACCAGTTCAACTAACCAAAGTTCACTGTCATCCAAGGCATTCATCTTCAGAATATACATTTCTTTTTAACTCTTTTAATAAAATTTTTCTTAAGCCGTACATATATGAACAGCGGCCAATGAATATATTCGGCACACTATAAACTTAAAGCAATTATACTCATAGATAACCCTTTGATTACATCACCATATATATGTGTGTGTGTGCACACAGTATGCATGTGGGTTGTAAGTATATTAATTTCAAAGGTTGTACTCATAGATAACTCTCTCTCTCTCTCTCTCTCTCTCTCTCTCTCTCTCTCTGTGGTATGTATTTATACATATATATTTACATATGAATATCTGTTTCAGCATGATTTAGCCAACATAAATCTGCTCGCACTTTCACCAACCCGTGGAAGACACCAATTCACCAGATATTGTACAATAACATGAGCATTTTTGTCTTCTCAGTTGTATAATCAGACATCGAGGAATCAAGTTTGTCTTACCAATTAGTCGCTCAGCATGAGATTTACTAATGTTCACAAATTCATGCTGAAGGAATTGCAAGAGATTCTGCTTCGAAGTCTCTGCAATAAGACGCTTTATCAGGAGCAAATCAACAGCTGATGGATGGTACTTGGTCTCAAGAGGAACCGGAGGCATTATGTCTGTCCTTCTCGCAAATTTTACCGTCACATTTTTACTTTACAAAAATTGAAGAAATTATTAAATCAGTGATATGAATCTCAAAAAACAAAAACTGCATCTCTTTTAAGTGTGTCTGCATGTATGCATGAATCTATACATGTATGTGCCCATAAGTGTGTTCGTGTATGTTTGAGAAAGAGTGAAAGAGCATACTCTGGTGCATCTGACAGAAATCTGAAAAGAAACTCAGCATAGGGTGTTATAACAGCCATTTGACGCATGTAGTGCAAAATCTTGGACTGCAACAAAGTAAAAAACAGTTAGCATGAGAGGCAAAGTGTACATAGTTCCAATTGGCCATCTTTCCACACCTAAACCCCAATACAAAAGGATAAAAGAAAAATGACAGAGCAGTCTCACTTAGAAAATTGAAATGTTTCTGAAGGGTAATTGCAAGTGCATGTATTGTGCTCAACTTGAATTAGATCCAAAGCATATGAATTACTTCACCTAAGAAATACATACACGATATGTTGTCCAATTCCCCTCAATAACTATCTGAATTTCAGCTCCATGCCACCGCTCCTTCTTGTCTTGTTTTTCATGTACATGAATGTGAGGGATGTTCCTAGCGAAAGATTAATCACAATAGTGTACTATATTGTCAAAGTAAATACAAAATATAGACATGTCAGGTAATGATAGCCCAAATTGCTGGAAATAGAGAACATTGTACCTATGAATATCTATGTCTAGCCTGCAAAATGAAGTATAATTTTGGCCCTTCATTGATGATGTGATTTCAATGGGAAGTCCTGTACTCATCTTGGACCAAATTAGGGCCTGCCAATGTCAAAACATACATCAATTTCTAAATCAATGCATGACAGAATTAGCTCAAAATCATTTACAACTAAGCAGACATGCAAAGGCAAGTCCAAAATACTTCATAAACTCCACTTTTTAGCAATTACTATTGTCTTCAAAACAAAAGCAACAGACAAAGCCATAACCATATTGAGCATAACTTACAACCTTTAGATAAAACATGGTAAAAGAAAAGGCTCAATGCCAAAAATTCAAACCTACCATCTTAGCACCAAGACCAAATTTTCCACGAGTCTGCTTCAAGCCATATTTTGTCCCAGACAAAACTGCATAAGTATATATAACTCTTTTAAATCCAAAATCATGCAGGCATTATGGGAAATTAGATCTCACATCAGGAATTTTACCCAGCAGCATAGGCAACTAGCAGTAAAACAACAGAGAGAGGGAAGGAGGGAGGGAAGGGGAGAGAGAGAAAGAGAGAGAGAAACTCAAACGGATTCACAAGAGTTTGCTGCATAAGATACAAAACATAATGCGTATACCTCGTCCAAACATATTGGGGATATCATCATGGGGCATCCCTTTTCCATTATCCTGGATAACATAGAATGAACTTTCAGTGGAGCCTTACCACAATCAGTTCTACAAAGTTCTATGTACATCATAAAAGATAGATCAATGCATATGGCTCTTTACATGATAATGAAAACAGAAAAAGGCTGTAGCAGCTCAATACTTTTGCATCATACCTTACAAGTCACCCTATAGTATGAGGTTTCACCACGACCCTTCATGGCCTTTGAAGCAACTGGCTCTTTCACTTTTTTTCCAAGATTAGCATTCTTTGCCTGTATCTCCTGAATGCGAGCTTCCTTGGCAAGTCGTTTCTAAAAATCAAAGACAATATGACATTATTTCAGTGGACAATATTTTAGTGGCAAGCAAGTTTCATCGTTCATGCTATGAAAAAAAAACTATATAAACTATTCTGATTGCTTGGACCAAGTGCAAGTTTTCCTACACAGAACTCCTTAAATTGATGCTAAGTTCGCATACACACCTCTCGAGCCTTGGCCGACTCAAAATCATCATATAGCTCTTCATCAACACGTTCATGTTCAGCAAGCCCAATCATGGAATTGAATTTGCTTCTCACTATCTCTTCACTAGAACGGTCAAAAGCTCAGATCAAAATCAATTTGCAAAATAATTAAGATTATTTGTTTCCAATTTTGTCAAGGAAATCCGAAAAAAGATGTTCAGTAAGCTCACATCGTTATTTCAACAATAGGAAGCTTCGAGATTGACTCTGCAGAATCAAGCGCATTTTCAACAAGCTCTCTTACAGTTGTGTATAAACATTTTCCCGGCTGAATAAAATAAACAAATTATCAAAATCCATTCAAGTCATTAAACAAAAATGCAGAACACCTTACCCCGTTCAATAATAACTTCAAAACTGATTATTATCCCTTTCTTTCATTTGTTTCTGGAGCTAAGTTTCTACTAATTCACAAATAAATGATTCCAATCACCGCTCTTCCTTCCCATCCAATATCAAATATTTTCTATCTCCGCCTAAGTACGAAGAAACACACAAACATAACAAAAACAACAATCATTCAGCAAAATACCAAACAAGCACGCTTAAACTCAACACGAACTCTCCAAATGCAGGGTTTTCAAACACATTGCGGATCATTTCATTCTACCACAAACCTTCGAATTTCAGCTGAATGCATCTCCCTAATCTGAAATTGACATCTCCGTCCACACTTCTCACAAAAATTACAATTACACAAACACAGGCATGCACTGCCACTCTCAGATTGTGTCTGTGTGAAAATGAAATACCCTATTATAAGTAAATGAACTTACATTGTCAAATCCAGCAATATTCTTATTATCTGCAAAAAACTCAGCTGGAGACTCTGCATAAATCCCACCAAAAAAAAACAACAAAAAGAGAAGAATCCCTTAAATTAAAATCAAAATAAAATAAAATCATCACCCAGAAGAGAGAAAAACTCGAAAAAACACACACACACACACACACACAAAATAATGGTTGAACTTACTCTGTTTGAGCACGCTATCTTTGGGTTTTCTGGGAGTCTTTGATTTGGATTTCTTTTTTCCTTCTGGGCTCTCACTACTTTCTCCAATCTCCATTAATTCTAGAAATTTTCCTTCCTAAAAATTCACCTGAAAACTTTGAAATTGAAAATACATAGTCTTAAATTTTCCTTTTATGCTTCTGGCTTGTTTGATAACAGGCTAGGGTTTATCAGTTATAACTGATTTTGGGAATTTAAGGGAAATACTAAGGTGCCTCTCATCTGTTTTGCTAGTGATGGTATTTTTGCTTCTTGAAAGAGCCGATGATTGATCTAGAATCTGGGCCCCCGTTATCGAAGGGTTTAAATGGTCCTATAGAGGAGGATATCTAAGAGCCGTTGGATGGAATTCTTTTGTCATATTTGACGGTCAGCAAGTTGAAAGGAAATGATTGACTACGGTGAAGGAGACATCCGAACTTCTCCTTATTGCAATGCATTAGTCCATCTCCCGCCTTTTCTTTTCATCTCTTTTTTCTTTTTGTTTTCATCTATTTTCCTTGAAATGAATTTTTTTTTCGAATCAATTTTTTTAAGCAGCATCATTATAGCATTTTTTTTATAACAATTAATAGGCATAAATCATAGTTATTAAATCCGGTCTGACCCGACAGTTCAACCGGTCAACCCGATGAACCAACCATGAAACCGAGCCGGGTTCTTCATAGGATCGTTTCTGCATTCAAATCGTTGACTTTTCAATCGGTCAATCCGGTGAACTGACCGGTTTTACGAGGAACCCAGCCTACATGGAAAAATTTTGTAAAGATGTGTGGATGGAAATTGGAACACCCAACCTCAAGCATATGAATTGAATACAATTCCACTGGACCAACCACCCACTTGTTTGCTATTCTGTCATTCTTATATCATATAGTAGACTTTTATTCTTATTTTGTTTCTCCAAAAGAAAATTTATTTAGACTTTTTGAATAGTAACATTTTATTATTCCCCAAACTCTATAAATTATGAAATTGACTTAAAAAATAACATATTACGCAATTCCTTTTAAAGGAAAATATCTAAACTTTTGCACTTAAAATTCATAAATAAACTAGATAATTACACTTAGATAAAATTTTATACTTGAAATTTGGTAGATTACTAATTAAATTTAGGTTGTTAATTCTTATAAGAATCAATGATTCTATAATAAATTAGACTAATTGAATATTTATTATGGCATAAAAATTATGAGACATAATATTTAAATATATTTAGTGACCCACCGGTTAGACCACTTACCCACTAGTTGAACCAGTAACCCGTTGATCCACCTCTTTCACTGAGTTCCTCCCCGGGCCGGGTTTAATAACTATGGCATAAATACACCAAAAACCCCAATTAGAGTTGGGGTAGGCGTAGGGGAGGATACCATTGCCCGATCTCTTGTCCCTTCTCCTATATCATTTTATATATATTGTACGGCTTCTCATTTAATTCATTCAAGTTCATTAGATTCCTTTCTACATATGAGGATCCCCCTTCTTTCATTTCACTCCACTCCGCAGAATAGAATAGGTTTAATTTCAGAAACTTCCCCTGAGGTTTCTTATAGTATCACTTAGCTTCTTTAAGGTTTTTAAAATTTCACTTACCTTTCCTATCAGCTTAACAAGACTAAATATTCCCATCAAAGGTCACAAATTAACAACATTATCCTTTCTCTTAATAATTATTTAACCAAAAAATAAAATAAAATTTTAAACCAAAATATATAGATTAAAAAAACAAATTGATATCTAATAATGGTCCATATTTCTCTATATCGAGCTTGTGATGGGATTTTGATAAGTAACTAACACTTTGAAAAAATTCATGGACAGTTATAAGGAAGTCAAGAAATTTTTTTAGGAAATATATTTTAATACATGATGTAGTATGAGTTGTACTGAAAATTAAAATAATCTTTTCATATGTGTGAATTTTTTAAGAAGAAAATTTTTTGTTTTCTTCTAATAAAACAAAAATAAATAGTTCAAGTTAAGAAATTTACACCGTACAAAAATTTAACCTTATTTGATTTTTTATTGTTGGTGTAAACTGTAGACACCAAAAATTTTGTGTCATTTATTCCTATTTCATTTTTTATCTATTCATTTAATTTAATTTTTATTTCTTACTTTTTCTAAAGAAAATCATCTCAAATTCATTTTTTAGAAAATTAGAAAGAAAATAAAAGAAAAAATTAAAATTAGATTTTGTAAAAAAAAAAAAAAAAAATCCCTTCACGCACGTGCGCTATTCTTCTTCATCATCGTACAAGCCAGATGCAGGAAACCAGAATTGCAGCCGGCATGTCAAGGCATTTTCCGTGCAATTTCTGCTCCATTTTCTTTCCCTCAAAGCCCCCAGTACAAGGCCAACTCGCATTGATCTGAATCACCAAGAAAAGATATAGAAAAACAAGCCATCTAATGGCTCTAAATTGCCCAGCTAACCTGGGTTTCATCCTCACCTTTGAGGTGAGGGTTTAGAAGCCTTGGTTTTGTATAAAATTCCATCAAAACGCAACATTAGGGTAAGAAAAAGGAGGGGAGGTGGAGGAAAAAGAGAGAAAACAGAGGGAAAAAGAAGAAGAAAAAAGAGCAGAAAAATTTTGTGAAAAACCTTGAGCCAGGGTTGAGTATCCTGCCTCCTTCGTGAGCAAAATCCGACCTTAATTTCAATCCTTTGGGTGATTTTTTTTTGTTTCTTCACCATCAAGCTAAACTTGGTGACATCCTCAATGAAAGTACGATGACTATAGAAACTGAAAATTTAGACGCTCAATCAAAATCTTCAATAACAATAGTTAAGAATGAGGAGCAGCATAAGAAGTATACATGCATGCCACAGACCATAAAGGAAAAATTTTAAAGAAGTACAGAAAGGCCTAAGCTAGCAAAAAAGTTCAGCAAAAGAAAGGTTTTACAAATTACCAATCTCCATTTGGCAAAGCAATGGCCACTTATATAATAAAACGCAAGAATTACCTGCCCAGGTAGAACAAGAGATTGTTGGAGAATCAAACTTTAGTACCTCAGCATCAAGAGCTTGAAGGTGAAGTTGCACTTAATATTTCTCCTCTTTAACTTTGTTCTATATAGTAATCCATATTTAAATGTCGTGAAAGATTAAGATTCTGAATTAGAGTTGGTATTAGATTCTTGTCTGGGTTGTGGGTCTTTAGATTGCAATAATATAAAGGTGTAAGTTTTGTTAAAGATGCAAATGATTGTTCTTTATGTTTTTTTGTGAGATCTACTTTAGTTGTGTGCTTCTTTCTGTCTAAAATGTTGTGCAATGGATTTAGTGGATATGTTTGTGTCGCGCCCCATTTTTTATAAGAAAAATAAATGGTTTAAAAAAGTGATTTTTTTATTTGAAAAATGGTTTTTGATTTTCAAAGAAAATGAAGAAACACATGGGTCTAGATGGGACTTGAAAATGCGACGATTTGACCCAAAATAATAGTTTAAAAAGGGTTTTCGAATAAAAAAATCGGAGTCGCCACTTGGTATAGAGTTAAGGTGTACCAAGTCACCTAAAAATGAATTTTTAAAGAAAAATAGAAAAAAACCCCTTTTAAACGACTCCAAATCTACGTGAATCAAAGAAAAAGGTTCGGAAGTCACATTTGACGAAGGGGAAGGCAAGGATAAAAAATCAAGGCACCCCTTCGACCTAGCCAAGGCTAGTTGCGTGATTTAGTCAAGGATTTTCTTGTTTTAACCAAAGAATTTACCACATTTGGATGTACTATATGAATGCAAACCCTAGACCTAGGGGGACATCGGGGGGCAAAATTTCTCTTCAAAGCTTGAATGGTGCCAATCACATTAATTGTGACGCCCAATAGTGACTCTTTGGAGAGGTCACGAATAATGCAAAAATATGAGACTCTAAGAAAAGGAAGAGTATAAAATAATTATAGAAATATACATGTCTTAGAGGAATGCATCACATCGGGTACGGGGGACTAATGTTCGTGACTCAATTTTCCCTTTTAATAGAGGGAATACGAGCGTGTTAAAGCTAAAAAAGCCAAACTCGTCCATATCCCATATCCAAGGGGCTTCCCTATCTAATCAAGCAAATGATCTAACCTAATTCTAATGCTTAGATGAAATGCAAGTCTAATGTCATGTTTCATACCAAGGGACAAGTAATATACGCATAAGGGAAAATATGGGGGACGGGGTATACATATATAAGGAAAGTGTCATGCGACATGGTGAAAAAGGCCCTAGAAAATAAAGATATGCATGAGATGAAGGCATGCGAATGTACTAGCGAGGGACGGTCCTATTGGATCTAGCATTGGACTAGTCCTTCACTAGCGCTCCCTCACAAGCATTGGACTTGTAAGAGCTCGATGGGAAGACCATGACTAGCGTTGGACTAGCCACGGTTTCGTGCATTTTGCGTCCATCATACATACATAAGTAAATGTGCATAATTAAAGCGAGTAGACATGTGAGCACGTAATTCACATAACACATAACACATAAGCATGCATATCTAGATGCCAAACCCTAAGAAAGCGATTAAACACATAGCACCTAAGCATGCAAAACACATAAGGCAATTAAGACCCTAACTATTACATTTTTAGAGGGGAAGGCCTACTACAATCTAAAAGGGGAAATGGAATGAAATAAATAGTTAAAATAAATCTAACTATTACAATTGTGGCATTCAAGTGCCTTCCCAAATGATCAAAAATTGAACTAAAACTAAAGCGAAATTAAAGAACTAAAGAGATAAATAAAGTGAAAATGAAATGAAACACTTAAAGTCATGCAATTGCACACATAAGGCACATATATGCACATAGGCCAAATAAAGTCAAAAATAAAGGGTAAGGTGTACCTCTCTTGAGTCGGGGCTCTAATGGAGTGAAATTACTTATTTACCCTCCAAAAACAAAGAAAAGGTCAAGGCACCAATTTAATTTGAGAAAATTAAAGAAAATATGCAAACACAAACTCACTTGATCATAAAGCCCTTAAAATCATGAATTAAGTGCAATTTAAACAAAGCATGGTAGTTAATTGAAGCAAACAAGCAACGAAAAGTTGTAAAATTAAAGCTGCCAAGGACCAAATTGAGGAAATTATTCAATTGGTTGGGTCATAGTGGAACAAGGGGAGACCTGGGGGGCCAAAGTGCAATTTTTCGAAAGTTTTTCATGCAGGTTCATGCAAGACAACGAAG